TATATTATTTAGGTTAATACGATTAATAGAGAAAATAAACAAATTATTTTTGTTCAATTTTAGTTTGGTTTGGGACAAATCATTAAAAGTGACTGGATGAAAGTGCACAATAGTGTTAGAAAAATTACACATTCATGACTGTCAGACTGCGCAATAGCGACCAAAACTGACAGTTCTAGATTTTTTGTTCGAATTTTAAATTTCAGTTTGATTATTAATTCTTACTTTCAAATTTTTGGTTATTTCAGTTTGATGTCGACTTCATTTTTTAAAAGTAACCAAAACAACCAAACCGGCTGAACTATAGAAAAAATAGATATATTTTATATTATATATATTATGCCTTTTAAACCAAATTTAATATAAAGTATTAAATACAAATATTAAAATAGTAAATATAGGTTGTGACAATTTGGTGATTTCATAAAACATATGATGAGATTTTTAATGTGTATGTTCTCACGCAATATTGTGCATTTTATGTATTATTATTGTGCATGTATTAAACTGTTATAAAATTGCGTAATTGCCTCAAATACTAAATTATAATATGTTTGAGTTTATGGAATTGCACTTAGGTCCCTGGTACTAATCATATTTAAAAAAAAACCCCGTATCTGATGAGGGTCGAGGGCCGAGGCCAAAAAGGATTTGACAGAGCGGCCACTTCCTTTGATGAGGCTCTTCAAAGTGGCCTGGTCGTAGGGAAAGAACCCGGTCTCAATGAAGGGAAAGAGATCGGTCATATCGAGGGATTTGCATTAGGCGCACAAAGAGGAATTGATATCAGTAAAGAGATGGTCGTCATATCTGATGATGACGCCGATTTTCTAGCTGAGGCAGATAGAGTGGATGCCATCCAGTGGGTGTTGAAGACCTTGGATCGGGGCCAAGACTTTGACTCGTCAAGCGGGTTTACACCCAGAAGAAGGATCATCTAGATTTGACGACGGTTGAAGATAGCGAGTCGGACCTGGATGTCGAGGTTGTAGTCAAGGAACAGGTCGGTCCTCCAGTGCAGGCAAAGCCGATCACACATTTTTATATGAATGCGGCCTTAGTACAGAAGTGTGAAAGTATTATCTCAGCTTTCTGGGGGGTTTCTCCCCCTTTTTTATTTTAATAGGCTATGTCGTCAAAGGATGCCACTTCTTCAGAAAGACAGACGACGACTGGCCATGGGGGTGCATCAAGCAGCAACAAAGATTCTGGCGATCGCTAAGTTATCTGTAGTATCTTTGTCTAAGGATAATTTGATTTTTGGGTTAGGCTACTATATGGGCTTGTGTTTTTTATTTGTTAGCCGTGTAAGGGCGTAAAGACGTATGTGGATGTTTTTCGGCTGGCAAGTGGCCTCTTCAGAAGCTTTTTAGTGAAAGTATGTCTAATTATGGATGAAATAGTTTGTCTTTCAGAAATAATTAAAGTAATCGACGAGATTAAATTTGACGATCAGCATCGTAAATTTTCAAAATGCAGTCGAGTAGATCGGGCCTAATTGGGGCAACCTAAAAACTATATTTGGAAGTCGGGTCCTTGGCTAACAGCCTGAAAATTATTTTTAGAGGCCAGATCTTTGGTGAACCGCCTGATAATTATTTTTTAAGGCTAGGTTCTTAGAGGACATCCTGAAATCGTTTTTGAAGGTTGGGTCCTTGACGGACAACTGGAAAATTGTTTTTGAAGGTTGGGTTCTTGGTGGACAGCCTGAATATTATTTTTGGAGGTCGCGTCCTTAGCGGAGAGCCTAAAAATTATTTTGAAGGTTGGGTCCTAGGTGGACAGCCTAGAAGAGCCAGGTCGTGCCAGGACAACCTTGAGAGTAAATCTTGCCTGCTTGGGTGAAATTTGTAAAGTGGCCAGGTCGCATGCGGATAACTTTGTGAAGGTCGGGCTCTGGTGGGCAGCATGAAGAGCCATGTCGCATGTGGACAGCCTTGAGAGTAAAGCTAGGATGCTTGTGAATAGCTTGTTGTGATTGTGGTCGAGTCGCGCACAGACAGCTTTGTGAAGATCGGGCCTCTGGTGGGCAACCTGGAAGAGCCAGGTCGCGTGAGGACAACCTTGAGAGTAAAGTTTGGCCGCTTGTGAGCAGCTTGTTGTAATGGTGGTCGGGTCGCACACAAACAACTTTGTAAAGGTCGGGCGTCTGGTGGGCAACGTGAGAATGCGGGGGCCAGGTTGCACACGAACAACTTTGTAAAGTCGAGCCTCTAGTGAGCAGCCTTGAAGAGCCAGGTTGCGTGAAGACAACCTTAGAGTAAAGTTTGGCCGTTTGTGTGCAGCTTGTTGTAATGGTGGTCGAGTCGTGTTCGCCTATATTTTTAAAGCTCGACCGCATGTGTACGGCTTCGCTCGTAGAATGTGGCAAGCAAGGTCGTATCCCAAGAGACCAAATAATTGATGTATCAAGTACTAGATTATGATAGTGTCAATTTTATTTAGATGATCGAATATGAGATGGATTAGTTAAACTATGAAAATAAATCAAAGGAAAATAACGTAAGAACAAGGAATTAACTGGAGAACACGTAAAACAAATATATGAGAATGAGAGATTCTAAGACTGTGGTTTCAATGAACAGTTATGACCCTTCAAAAATATCATACAAAAATATCACAACTAAATGTTTTCTTTATCTATCCTATAAGATGATCACAAATTTAGTTTATCGTCACTCTTGAGATCGATAAACCGTATATTAAATCACATATATTAGCGTCTCTACTCAACACATGCAATTCAACTTCAAATAGATGAAAAGATCAAATATCCTGACAACGACCTACTAACCTCTCGATTCAAGCAAGTAAATTGTGCCAAATATTAAAGACATAATATTGAACTCATCTCTCGAATTATAAACCATATTGTCAAACATGTAAAAGCATTGGCCAAGTGCTAAACATGAAATAAGAAAAAAAATTTGAATAGGGTTCGAAAGAAAAACAATTAATTATAAATAAATCATCCAAAATCCCAACATATTAATCTACTACCAAGTCTTAGAATCAAATAATCTAGCCACTCATGTTTGAATTCAAATACATAGACATATTGAAAATCGACATGATAAATAAAAGTTCAAAAGAAAGAAGAAAGAAAAACTAGGAATCTCGTCGATCTCTCAATCTCTTTGATTCTTTTGTAGTTGGATCTTCTTTTTACTTCCCAATTGCTTCTCTTGTGTGTTCTAGGGCTCCTCCCTTGTGTATCCACGTTCTCCTTTTGTGTATCAGGTTTTTCTCCCCTCAAAATAGGGTAAATATGCCTTTTATAATGTCCAAAATCATTCTCCTTTTCAAAATAGAAAAGATATAAAAAAACAACCTGCGCACGCGACACGGCCACTCTGTCTGTGTCATCGTCTATGTCACATGTAAAGCCTCGAAATCTCTCTGTTGAGGTGACACGACCTATAACACGTGCATGGTGCTCGTGTCACTGCCTGTGTCACAAATTTGCACTCTTCTTTTTGCTCGTTTCACTCGTTTCTTCTTTTTTTTTTTTTTTTTCTTTTTTTTTTTTTTTTTTCATCCGTGCATCAATATTTCATCATCCCGAGTGTCTTAGATACTCACCGTGCGCCTTCAATTGCCAAAATCTCTACAAATATGTGGAAATATCTACAAAACAATCACGTGTAATACCTTTCCAACAAGAATAGAATAAAACACAATAATGCAATTTATACACCAATAATGCAATGAGTAAGCTCTAAATACTATATAAATAAGGTAAAAAATCACACATGAACAGGTCGCACACGGACAGCTTTGTGAAGGTCGGAGCTCTGTTGGGCAGCCTGAGAATGCGGAGGTCAGGTCGCACGCGAACAGCCTAAGATGTCAGTAGCCAGGTCGCACGTGGACAACCACAAGTTTGGGATGATCATGCCATATTGTAATATGGGGATTGCTCGATGTTTATTAAATTGTTGAGAGGACTTTTGAAAGCACTGTGATCACCATGTATTTGGAATACATTGAGGGAAGAGATCGCCAAGAGTGACGACACGTAAATAGTGTTTAACACATAAATTTATATAGATCTCCGAATAGAGATCGTCATGTGAGTAAACCAAATCTTGATAGTCGTAGATCGTGCAACTTTTTGCAAAGTGACGATTCATAAAAAGGATGTTTTGAACTAATTAGTAGATAGTCTTCCTTAAATAGTGTCTTTCGTCGATCGGTATGTAATAATCGCTGAAGCGTGTTGATATAGTCATCTTTTCTTTTCAAGGCGATTGATAATATGCATGTTGTAAGATATTGCCTAAGAGTTTTTGGAAAAAAAACTTTTTTGAAGAATAAACATTTAAAAGCGAATGCATAATAGGAAGCCACTACTGATGATTGAGAAGCGATAAAAAATTTGTATTAACAGAAACTGCCATAGAAGGGACCTTTGCGCGATGTTATTTTCATGAAACATCCTTGTTGTTTTGGAGATCACCCTCTCTTTGCGCAGGTTGGATCACTTTTGATATGCCGAAATGTTTTTTGAGGTCATCGTTCGTCTTGTAAAAAGAATATTGTCGATGAATAGAGATCGCTTTTACCTTTGTAAGAAAATATCGTCGATGATCCGATGTATCTTTGGGGACGTCTTTTACCCATTTATTAGTCGCGGTAGGCCTACTTTTGTATTGAGATCATCGAATAAGGAGAGGTGCCAAAATGTCAATTAGATGTCACCCTCGCATATGGTTCTTTCTTGAGGCATCATGGAATTTCAGCGATCTTACTGGTCTCGTATAAATAATATAAAGATAGCGATCCTATTAGAGAAGCAAGAATATATTTTTACAAGACTAGTAATTTGAACATGTGTAACTTTGTGGACCTATACATATCTGCAATAAAAAAATTGGGCTAATTTAAATGATAGGAAGACCTACTTTGTTGTTTGTTGATGTCGTTGATATCGATCGGCTTAGTCTCCTGTTCATAGAAATAAAAGTTTATCGACATGTTGCAGGCATAAAAGTTGATCGGCATGTCATTCTCACACGGGAAGATATTGTGCCGAAAACATCTTGTGGGGCATTTTTGCACAGATCAGCCTTTTCCCGTTTGATTGGGTGTTGCAGTCAAGGATTGACAGAAAATTGCATATGACGCTCTTTCCATGGGATGATATTGTGCCAAAATACCAAATACCATCTCTGCACAGATAAGGTGTGGATGTGTCGATCGGCGAGATCGCCGTTGATAATGGGGGGCGACTTATGGCCTTGCCTGACCTTAATGGTTTGCCTCAACCCTAAGTTGAGGTTTACTCTACAGGTCATTGCCTGGCCTGACCCCCAATCGTGTAGCACCAACCCAGCATGAAAGTAGACTAGTCGAGCGATCACGACCAAATTACGGCAGTGATCGCCCAACCATTACGAGGTTGATATATAGCTGGGTTGGGAGTTTTCTGGGTCTAAGGAGAGGATATGGTCAAATTTCATGAGGAGATTTCTGGCCAATCCCTCCTCAGGCCACTGACCTCGAGAGGGTGGGCTAACAAACCATCCACCATCACGTTCTTGTCAAGGGTGGACTAGTCGATCCATATTCTTGTTGAAGGTGGACTAACATGAGGGTTTGCCCAAAACTATAGATCTGAGCTTTTTATGGGGAGATGAGACAAAAGGCAAGTATTTGGTTATTTTGAGGGAAATATCGACAAGGTCACAAGGCAATCGAAGGCGGAGAGGTCGGTTGAGCCACCTATTTATCTAATCGATGATAAAAATGAGAGGGTCAATTGCGCGGCCCTTCATCCGATAAGGGTTTAAGAAGAAGATGAAAGGAGAAGTGTATGACAAAAGCCTCTCGGGACTCGGCTTTCTATAGGAATGAGGTTCAGATCTAACCCTTGAAGGCCGCCCTTCCTTCTAGCAGCATTATGATGACAGTGTGTTCGTCAACAGTGACGAAAAATGTGTTTAATACGGTTTAATCTGGGTTTACAATATTATTATGGTGTATTTAAATGATGTGGGATAAAAGGAGATTGTAATAAAATAAGTATTTGTACGACAAAGCAAGACACCGATTTTGCCGATCACCTGTGGCAATCAACAAGGAGATGGTTTCTCTAGAACTTTATTAGTAATTGTGTATGATAGATATAACCAAATGTTTTTGTGTGATGATTGGTCGGAAGAAGTGTGTACTCTATATATTTATTAGCGTATTTTTATATGCTTAATTTTATCGCACTTATTATTTTTCGACTTATTTATTTATTAGATGGATTCGGTGCTTTGATATTTTTATGGTTTATTTTTAGGATATTGGAGTGTTTTTATGGACGAGAAGGAAGGTTGAAGCAGACAGTACGGGGGTGCCCCGTACTGACCTAGCAGTGCCCCATACCAGCCCCATTTAGGTCCATGTGTGCTAATTGTGTTTAATGGCCCAATTGTTAAAGTGCTAATATTTGGTAGGCCCAATGACAATTAATTGGAGAGCAAGCTTGGGCACATTGACGCAACCATCAAAGGAGATTTAATTGGAGAAGTTTTGGAATTAATTAAATATTAAGGAAGACTTGAGGAGAAAATGAAAAAAAAAAAAAAGAATCCTACATCCACCAGGATATACACACACGCAGGGGGATATATTTTGGAGTCTTGGGAGCCGCAATATATTTACACGCAAAACAGAGAGAACAAACGCAGGGGAAAAAGCAGACAGAACGCGAGTAACCGATCAAACGCGGAGGGAGGCCGCACCCGTACACGAGGGAGATAATTAATCTCTCTCTTTTATCTTTTCCATTTTATTTATTATGTTAAAGTAGATTTTATTTCTAGTTCTGGGGATGTCGAACCCTATGATTTGACGATGTTTAATTAATTTTCGTGGTTGATTATTGAGTTATCTTTTTGGAATTGTTTGTGTTATTTTGAATAATTCACCATGATGTGTTTAGTCTTGTTTAAATTGATCACCTAGATTAGGCTTTTCATATCTACATCTGAATTAGACCTTCAATCCGTAATTGTTGTTGTGTTTAATTCATAAGAGGTAACCGGAAGATGGTAACTACCGGGGATAACACTGCCTATTTAAGTGAGCGAACGCGGTTGAGTTCACTACTTAGTCTAGCCTATTTTTCTAATTCGAAAAGCGGCTAATTGTATTAAATCTTGAAAACGTTTTTCTGGACTGTACAAGAAGTCAGGTTTAATCGTAGAGCGTCTCGCGGTTAAATTAAAATTAAGGAAAAATATGGGTAACAGACCGTGTCGT